GTAGGACAATTCAGGCGGAGTGCGGACGTTGCAAAGAATGGATCGCTGATCGCAAGCGGAATGGAGAAAGGCAGATCGGTGGCACCGAAGGATGCGCGCCGGAAGGTGCCGAGAGGCAAACGGCTGCAGATCGACAAGCTCGAGAGGGCCTGCAAGGTCGGCAATGACCAGGTTAGCGGGGGCGCGCAGCGATTGCAGGATGGCCAAGTGATGATCTTGTCCACGCTGGAGGACGTGTCCAACTTGGACGGCATTTTCGACCAGGCGCTCCGACGCGGGACTGCGCGAGCAGCAGGAGCAGCAGGAGCAGCAGCCATAGCAGACGAAAGTGAAAGCAGAAGAGTCGGAGAAGCGGCATCAGGTTCGCACGTTCAAGACGTGCGCGAAGAAGCGCTTAGTAGTTCTTTGCCTGACATGGTATTCCCGACCAAGGCACCTCGCTGCGACCGTCGAAGGGACGAGCCGATGGACACTTCGGTGGAGTTTGTTTCGCAGAGCAGGATGGGAACGAAGAATTGCATTGATGGTGCTGTAAAGGAGTGCGAGGGGGTCGGTACTTTGAAGACAAAGGAGGCGTCGTCGGAACGCTTGGAGGAGGGAGGACGTGGGAAGCTGGATGACGATGATCAAATCGACACGAGCATCGCGTCTGGCGCAGGCGCTACTGGTCGCGGTCAGCGCAACATCCGCGGCAAAGTGCGACAGGAAAATGTCTTGAAAGAAGCAGCTACCGACGATGCTCGAGATGCTCTGAGCAGCGACTCGTCTACAACTCTTGAGACCCGCATCACCGCCCTATCGACCGAGCCTGAGCTCGAGTGAGTGTCTATGCGGAAAAGGGGAAACGGCTTTTTCTGGCAGTGCTTGGGAGCGCGCGCAGCTTGTTAAGCGAAAGATGATGGCTGACGTGATCTTTTCTTTCCCTGCGACGCTTTTCTTTGTCCCCGGTCCCCCCTTTTCGATCAGCTTGTCGAGCATCTCGACCGCTCGGTTCAGAGTCTTGTCACACTGCATCATTTGCGGCTATTGTTTTCCCAAGTCGCACAGCGGACCAGCAAAGCAAAAGCACGTGCAGCAGTGCTCTTTGCGAATGGGCACGAGCGGATATGAAGTGTTGGGTGTGTTGCAGGTGGAGGAGAGGAGGAGAAAAGAGGTTTGGAGGAGGGAGAGTAGGAGGATGGAGCAGGAGAGGGGCGTCTTGAGCTGCATGATTGGCCAGGCACTCAGAGAGGGATTGATGTTGAGCGAAAAGATCGACAGGGCCAAAAGTAGACAAAGGCGTACGAAGTGGCAGGGCGGTAGGAGCAAGTCGGTGCGCGGGCAGAGCAAAGCCAAAGCGAAGAGCAAAGCCGAAAGCAAGAGCAAGACGATAGCCTTGGACAAGGAGAGCCCGGTGGACCCTTCTATCGAAGAGCTTGTCGCTGCACTCAAGAGCAAAAAGAATCCTGTGGGAAAAGGCGGCATCTGGTTTGAGTACCTGCGCACTGCGAGCGAGATCAGCGAGGAAGTCTTTCACCGAGCAGACGAGCTTTTGAGTCTTGCACACATCGAACCGGCGAAATTGTCAGCGCTAGATGAAGATGGGACTTCGATGGTCGAGACGCGCGTTCTTGTACCACGCCAGCCGGCTGGTGCGCCGTTCCACATGGGCGGCGCGCTAAGCGTGGAAGGACGAGGCGCTGGCTTTGTGCGACGCAGCAGACTGGAAAAGGATGCGAGGAGCAAGTCGAATCATTCTAGGGGCCTGCAAGCTCGGTTCTGCGTGCCTCTGCTGCGCCAAGGCGAGGCGCATCAGCTGGACAATTCTACGGACGAGGTGGATGGTGCTCTCGCGAGCGCAGAAGCAGCTGGACAAAGAGCTCGGATGAAGCAGGAGCGTGGGTACAGATCTTTATTGCATGGAGGCGAAGAGCTGGCCAGGGCGCTCGCTGAGCCGCTGTGGAGAGCCGAAGGAAGGGGATCGGTCTTGGAAAAGAGAAAAAGCGAAATGATGGACTTGGCTTGATGATGCACGATCGTGCCCATTCCACTTTTTTTTTTTCTCGAAAGGGCAAAAAAAGAGCGCACGCTTTGTACCAACTGCAAATCTCACCCAATCACCTTTACTCTTGATCTCCTGCATGCATGCATGCACGCACTGCTCCGCCCCGCTAGACGACTTGAGGATGCGTGCTGCGCTTTCTATCTCCGAGGTAGACTCGGGTAAGTCAGGCGTGTGACTTTTGTGCGCAAATGCAGATGGTATTGTCCATACGGTAGTTCACGTCGAGCACGCCTGGTGGGGCGGGCGAGCGAGCGAGGGAGCATGCAGAGCTATGGGTTGCTATCGGCGCATTCGCCCGTCGTCGTCGCAGAACGAGACGCGGGGGGCAAGGTCCTTGCCAAAGGCACGTTGCCAGCGGGAGGGCACCGGTCTAGTTCGATCTTTTGCCCTAGCTTTCTTGCGCGCCGTCTCTTCTTGCTAAATGTGAGCGCTCCATGCGTAGTAGGCTTGTAGTTGGCCCACGCTACGTCGAGATTGCGGGGACGTGCTGAGCCTGTCAAGCAGACTTTGGAGTGCCGGGGCAGGACGGCGTTGCAAAGATGGTAGCACAGCTTCGAGGAGGGGGATGGCGCTTCAAGCGCTTCCTTTTGCGCTATTCTTGATCTTTACCAACTTGCATGCCCCGTTGACGCGCGCAGCAGTGCGCATCACGTTTGCCCTCTCTCCCCCCCAGTGCAACTTTTGACCCAGGTAGAGGGAGATCCATGATAGGGCCAGGAGCACGGGCACCTCGACTAGCGGACCTATGGTAGCTGCCAGAGCTTGGTCCGAGTCCGCACCAAAGATCTGTTTGTTGCAACGTACGAATGCGGAGTGCGGGCGCGGGGGGGAGTGTTAGCTTTGGGATGGAGCACAGCGATGGGGAGCGCGGCGGAGGAGTGATAGGCGCGCAATGATGGAATTCGAGACGGGCAGACGAGGAGCGG